CCATTTACATCTCACCTTTCTTCAAAAATTCTTGATATGACACTTCCGGGGGATGACGATAATTTTTTCAACATCTCACCCCTCTGGGCGGAAATTATTAATGAAAAAATTCACTAGCAGTCGATTGATTAATGAATACTTTTTTAAACCTCGAAAATGGAGTGAAGATTGACAGATACTTGACGGGCGACTCTACCGCATCCCCTGAGACCATCTCAAACTGCATAATCAGCAGTGTACACCGGCGAGTACTCGACAAAAATGGAAATAATATTTCGTTAGTGGCTTGATGAGTGTCCTTGTTTCCTTAATTAAAAAATATAAACCAGAATGGAATGAGACTCGACTTGATATTCCACGAAACATCTCTAGAGGATTGTATCTACTTTATAAAAGGCTATCGACCGACAGTTGCGCCCACTCAATGTACCCCCTCCAGGTACTTTCATCTTTTCTCATTCTATTTCATAATTCGTCATGCGGTCTCTCATGCATTCACGCACACACCAAAACCATCTACCTTGGTATACCTCCAATCGACATTGAGCAGACACAGTAGTGTCTTTTCCCTCCCTTTGTGTAATTATATTTTGATTTCTCAGTGAGCCACTGGTACTACTTCATCCCCAGCCTCTCCCCAGGCTCTCGTTGTGAATGCTAATACATCTCTCTCCTCCATTACTCCTCTTCCTCAAACTCACCCTTACAAATTCCATGATTATATTCTAGGTAGAAGGGAAAAGGGAATAAATTGTTTTTTTTATCAGATTGGATTATCGGAGGTAATGATGAAATCATTGCGTTGAGGTTGATATCAGTAATGATCCAATTTGTTAATGAACATCGATGATAAGTTAGTGGATATAAAAAAATAGGAGGGAAGACATGGTTTAATTGTACTCGATAAATACGCACTTGACGTTACCACGCAATTTCGAGTGGTTTCTCGGGCTTTTATCAGCCTCAACGTGTCTGAAGAATGAGAAGGGTTGTGCGATAATGTTTGCGTGTATGGGAAAATGGGAGGGTAAAAGGGGGATACAAGCTAGCTATTCGAGTACACATACGTGGAGGAGTGCACGCACTATAATAACGCATGGGAAACCGACGGTTCTCGCATTTTGCTGGGTGGAAGCAGGAGTTATGCACTCTATCCATGAACTCCGCATGCACTAGGTTATGACTAGCCGTGGGGGGTTGATTTTTTTGCAACAATTCCTCGAGCTCCGCGTATATGTATTTTTTTTTCTTTTTTTTTTTTCGTTTACCGCGTGGGCTCTCTTTTCTCTACCTTCGGGCACTTTTTTATTATCGATTGTTTTTATTTTTCTCTTCCGCTTTTTTCTTCTTTATTTTTCGTACGCAGGGGTGGATCGATTGTCATGCCACGCATGGTCCTCTCCCTCATTGACGAACGTCGCACCGCTGGCTCAGGGACGTTCCTGACAGTTTCAGTGCCCTACGATTTATGGGTATCGTAAAAAAAAAAATGTAATATCGTCGGGCTTTCTTTGCTAGATCCTCGCCATTTTTCTCTCCCAATTGAGAAAATACCTCTATTATCTTTATCGTCGTAAAAACACCGCTGTGGACATTGCTTCTATAACTATTGTGATTCATGGAAAAGTAAGCACAGCCTGGTAAAAAGGAAATTGAAGGTTTTTTTTTTCTAAGTACGCAAAAGATTGTATGTAAACAAGATGATGAAAGAAAATGAAAAACCTATTGACAGGGGGATGGAAAGTACTATGGTAGAGGCAGGATGAGTAACGGATAGGTGAAAAAAAAATGATGGGAAAGGAGAGAAAGAAAAAAATACGAATGAAAGAAAAATAGGAAAGATGGAATAGAGAGTCTGTACATGAAGGATTTGCACAAGGGGGTAGACGCTGGGGAAATAAGGTAATACGTGCAGCTTTGTCTCGATCGGAGTAGTTCCGGGGAAAATGTTGGTGGTGGGTTGGTGGGGGGTGAAAAGGGTGGATAGGGTGGAAGAAAGCAAAGCGAGAGGAGGAAAATGTACAGTAGCGAATGCCTTTCTGTTATTACCGGAGCACTCGGAAAGACACTGGGGGATATACCTTCTGCTCTGCATCAAACTGAAGTTATACTTTCACCACTGAGGGGATAGAGGGGTAGCGACATGCCATGTTCTGGTGAATTTTGGGCCAACCCAAGATGGTAAATAGCACTGATGCTTTGGGGAATTTAGGGGAGTCGCGTGAAAGATGTGAGCAAATGATTCCACAGTCAGACATTTATACATTTATTTTTGACTCCTCGTCATTTGGTATTAATGCTAGAAGACGATATGACCCTTTTTCGTACTCTAATGCTGTAATATAATGTCTTATTCTCGGTGATATCGTAAGTTGGCTGAGGTTGAAAATTAAATTTACATAAGTGATTCGGCCGTTCTCCAGTGCTCGTTATCAGAATAGTCGTGTTCTCGACTCATGAAAATATGAATATCCGACATGGATTTCAGTGAGCAACGGTGAAAATCAATTAGGATATTATTTCGGTCGGTTAATCACCTTTGGGGGTCTCGCGGGGTCAGTGATTCATCGTGAACCAATGAATTATTTGTTTCACACGAATAAATAACTTGGCCTGGAATGATAAATTTCTTGTTGGATGGGGTGATACTTGAATTCTCGAATGATATCACTTGAAAATATTCCAATAGCTTCTCCAACGGACATTGCATAAGTCATCATCACACCTGACGACTATTAATTTTTTAAGGGGGTCTAAGAAATGCCGCAGTGTGTCGATCGATCGGTCGTTAACCAACATTCCGAACCTATTGGTTAGGAATCTGTGGTGGTATGTGTGTTGGTGGTTTGACTATAGAGGTGGGAATAGAACGAGGGACCAAGGGGTAGTTGCAAGTTGACTGTATGTGCTGGATGGTGAGAGTATGGAGAAGGCAGTAGGGAAGCTGATGGTATATAGAATGGAAGGGTGAGAGGCGTGGTAAACGTAGACCACGTTGGTTAGGTCAGGAGGTTCGGGAGTCGGAGCTGAGAGCCGATAAGGGCTTGCCAGGGCCTCCGCTCTGTTAACGACTATGTAAATTGACGGCTCTATTTATTCATCGTATCGAAACAATTCCGAAGAGATGAAGACATCGGGCCAATTTTCATAGGCTGTTGGAGGAGGCCTCATCTTTACCACTCTTGTCCTTTTACTCATCCTCTTTTACTCCCTTGTACCAATTATGCTAATTTATCATTAGGTCTCGATTCATTATTCCTCTTGGATGCACCATCACAGAGAGATACAACTGGGTGCTCTTTAATTCCATCAGGAGTATGGCTACTGTCTCACCAATCCCATCGATGTGAAATCGAACGTGGCGTGACTCCTCGCTCACCTAAGAGCCGAGCTAAAATACGAGCAAGAGGTGCATAGGGAGAGAAAGAGAGAGAGAGAGAGAGAGAGAGAGAGAGAGAGAGAGAGTGGTTGAGACTCGAGATCCTCATGGCGAGCCGGAAAAACGTTTTTCCTCGGGTTGCCTTCTTCGGAATATTTAATTCCTCTTTCCTCCTACTCGTCATAGCAAGATAGATTTTTATTTTCTTTACGTTGAGATGGTTATTTCATGGTGGAAGAATGAGAAGAAATTTCAAAATTCGTGGTTAAAGTTATTGTCGGGAATTTGAAAGACAGAGGATGACAATATATCGGCAGGATGTTGCAGTGGAAAAGGCTAGTTTAACATTGTACATGAGTGTATATAGATTGTGATGCTGAGTAGAGCGCATGAGATGAACAGAGTGAGGGTGCTGCCTTGGGGTTCATTATTCAGGGCTATTGATTTCCATCCAAGCTCCCTTTTGCACCCCTTTCTACCCGCGGGCAACGCCACACCGACGAGAAGCAACCCGAGCGCGGGTTTGAGCGAGACAGAATGAGATTGACGGGGTCTGTGTACTCGAAACCGACGAGGGGGTATGTTGGGGGAGGTACAGTGGAAGAGGCCTCTCCCTTTCTTCCACATACTTTCTCCACCCATACATTCATTGATACTTCATATTCTACCAATCGACCGATACATTTTCTCCGGACTCGATCCATATACACCGGAATAATCGAAAAATTTATCCCGGTGCATATCTCTCTCGTCCTTTAGCACCCTCTTTTGCGCATCAACCTACATATCTGACTGACGTGTGCTTAAGCCAAGTGTCCTACTGTCCAAAACCCGTACCAATTGCCCGTACCATAGTCTCTCAACTTGAAGTACCGTCTGTCAGGTCCTTTGAACTCTTGGACATTGTCAATTTCAACTCCACTCACAATCTAACCGTGAAGCATGAGATAAAATAGTCACGGGCTTTGTAGAAATGCACTTGTCTGATGCACCAGGGAATTAATCTGAATACATTGCATACTTCTGACAATTTAACAATTGCACTCTCCCCGATGACAGTATTTTGTCTATTAATTAATCGTTAGTATTCCCGCGTTTCGATAGTTATCCGAAAATTTTAACAGCGAAAAATGGCATTGAAGGCTTTGGAAAAATGGAGTTGAAGAAGCTGTTGAGTTTGGGAAAAAAAATAGAGGGGACACCGGGCGGTTGGTGACAATCAGACATGGGGTGTGTACCCGGCAAAAGTGAAGTTAGACGGTTATATTGTGTATACACGTTGTGCGAGCTGGCTTGTGCCACACCGTCAACTGTCGGTGAGAATGGTGGGGTGATGGGGGGGGATTTGAGGGGGTGGTGGAGGTGGTGGAGGTGGTGGAGGAGGTGGAGGAGGTGGAGGAGATGGAGGAGATGGTGGAGGTAGAGGAGGTAGAGGAGGTAGAGGAGGTGGAGGAGGTGGAGGAGGTGGAGGAGGTGGATTGTTATATAGGGAAAAGCCTTGACGAGGGGGGTCAAAGGGCGTCGAATGGCGCCGGCGCGAGTGGAGGATAACTTGGGCATTCGCTGAGAACCACCTCCGCGTGGTGGGTTTGTGACGTCAGCCGTTCTCAGTGTGCGGAGAGCGAGCGTAGTGTGCACAATCTCCACGTTAAACCGTTATAACGACAATATTTCATTAACACTTTAAACAATACCGTGGAATTTTTAATGGGTATTTATACATATGTTTTGAGAAATTAAATGTGAACGAGGTGATTGTGATTATTGAGGGATTTAATGGATGAGTTTGAATATCCGAGTGGTAATGATAACAGTGAAAAGTTAAAGTATCTTTGAGCAACGTGGACGGGTGTTGTAAATAAATAGATGAGAGTCGATAGGGTTTTGTTGAGTAGATTATTTTTTATTTAATATTGAAAAGAACTTGGTGACTCAAATTCAGTCTGATTTTTGGATAAATCCCATCACGTGGGAGCCGACGTGGCTTGATGAGTACGTGGACGATCGTCGGTGGGTACCACGCGGTCGAGCAAATTGTCCTTGCCGGGGCTGTTGGCACCTAGCAGCTGGTTAAATCACTTGGCTACAGTGCTGGTATAACAATAACCGTTGTGATAATAATCATTTGAATTTTTTTTTTCACTGGACAATGAGGATCCAATGGAGACGGTAGTGAGGGAAATTGAATAACGCGTTTGTACTCATTTTTCGTGGTCGCTTTTATTTTTGTTTCACTCGGGATTTTTTGGATTATTTATTTTATTTGGGTTCGGTGATTATTGCTAGCGACTGATCGAGTGGGGATATCTTGATATGACGTGTGAGATGAGAAACTGCCGCGAGGCATCATCCCTCGGCGACGTCACCAGCTAGCCCTTTGTTTGCTCATTAGTTGCCAATTAATTAGTCGTTGTTGATGAACAAATTTTATTAGTTTGGGAGAGTGATTTTTGTGAACTTGTGCGTGTATTGATTGGATGGGAATTGGGATATCGATGAGCTGAGTGGGTGGGGTTTATCAATTGATTTGTTGTATTAAACTTGGAAGATTGTGAGTGAATAATTGTAGTGATTGATTCGGCATTTGAACCGGCGATCCGCAAGTACGCGGAATCAAAGGCAGGCAGCGTGGAGCGTTCACCGATAGTGTGGCCGCGTGCCGCGGACCTTTGCTTCTATCAGCCAGGTACATTCTTTTAAATCAGGCTAAAATCAGACTAAAATCAGACTAAAATAAGACGAAAATGAGATGCGTCCTGACAAGTAAAGTTGATATATCTGGGGATGACAGGCTACCGTGTACTGAGGGGAAAAAAAGGGAATAATTTAAGTTTTTGGGGTTGGAGAACAAGCGCGAGGGTACGAGGGAGCACGAGTGGTAGATATATATACATATATATATATATATAGAGAGAGAGAGAGAGACTGGCTCAAGTGGCAATTGCTGGAAATTGTGCCAAGTGCAGCTCGTATTGTAGAGTTTCAATTTTATTTATTTTTTATATATATATTTTTTTTTTATCATCCTCTCATCGTCCCTCCAAGTGGCGGACAACTTGGCACAAACACGACGGCATGATGTTCGGGTGGGGCGTATTCAGCGGGTATTCAGAGAGATGGATGGCATGAATATCAGAGGATAGAGTGCGTCGGCTTGTGTGACATTACCAATTCGACGTGATATGATTTTTCACGGAGAATAATTCCCGCGAGAGTCTGTTGAAAAAAAAAAGGGAAAAATGAAAAAAATAACGGAACATTGAAAAACAAAAATAGAATTGAATATATTCAGACAGATGTGTAAACATTTTTTGGGATAAAAATTGGGGCTTGGGGGGTTGAAAATATAACGGTTATCATAGCGTTGATGATATCGAACTGACTGTTGGATAAGCTCTATCCAATACTTGACTCGATTTGGAACGCGCTCCACTTTATGGGCACATTCGACTAAGGAGAAACCCTCGCCAGCAAAGTACTTATAGATCTATCCCACCCCCTCCCCATATGCATTCACATTCTTATTTATTTATTCACCCAACCCACTGGTTATACCCTTCTTTCCGTACCACTACGTTACTCAAGATAACCGTCTCAAGATTTTCGAAATTTCCGACTGAAAACTTTCCAGACGAAAGTATTGCCCACCTGGAGAGAAATATCACCCGATTAAACTTTTCAATCTCCATGCATTTAGAATCGAGGTCATCTATTATTATCAACTATTTGAATGTAAATTATTTCAAATATTTATGGATTATTCCGGGAATGGAGTTGGTAAAAATGAGTAGTTGGTGAAGATTTGAAGATTAATTATCCAACATTGGAGAAAGGATAGTGGAATTTATTTATCTCAAGTTTGTGATTCAAACGTCAACTAGCCTCTTGATGGCACTCGGCTTGGTTGGTGCATAATCAGCTTAGTCCGTTGGAAGCAGGTTCTGTTGAATCCCGGGTGTCTCATCGAAATTTTCAAGTTGTATCGCCTCGGGGTTGAGAGGACTTGTGAAGAGGTTTTGGCAGGGAAGTAGTCAGACCAACAGTCGATTTAATTTCCCCCCATTTTCCGGTGGTAGTATATTCTCCAAGTGTATGAGTATGGCCAAACTCCCCCTCGGACAATGAGGATATGTTTCTCCACATCCCTATATTTGCAATCGAGATCCGGAACGGAGGGTATGGGTACATACCATGACCCGAATCCCTAAGTCAGTGCCGCATACGGTCACGGGGAAAGCCCAACGGACAAGCACGTAGTAACCTAGAGATCCCCCTCATGGACAAGATCCTCATAGGCCCCCAAACCCTCACCAATCCCAAACACACCTCCTTTGTGTTCAGTTACTCTGTTTCAAACCCTCAACTTCCCTGCATATTAAATCTTTCACAGTCTGACGGAACTACTCGAAAACATGGCCATATAAATGGTGGGAGGGTATTGTGTGGCTTGTGCCAAGTCTACAACTTATTTTCATGTATTTTCACGTGAACGGAAGTATTCCACGCGCATTTGCTAAACGAGTTGTTACCGGCAACATCTGCCACTATCGCAATCATAAATCCAATCAATCCTTGAGGGCAATGACTCTTTAACGGTTTAATCGTTTACAAATTTTTACGACTGTTGCAAGAGTTTATCGACTAATGGATTGGTTGACGGGAAATTGTTGCAATAATTATTGGGGTAAAAGTTCATTGAGAGGTTCTTGGAGACATTAATTTTCCAAAATTACAGCAAATGTTGGTAGTTTGAAAGGGGTGGGTCAGCTTGGATGAACTCGGATGAAGGGGAGGTAGTTTTTGAAGGGCAATGAGAAACATCTGGTGTTTGTCCCTAATGTCCCTAATGTTCAAAATTTTCTTCAACAAAAAGATGGGAAACATGATGAGTATAAAAAGTCTGCTTAATATTTTTTACCTCGTGGAAAATTAATTTCCCTCGAATTAACGGGTACAAGCCTGTGTTTTTATACATGAGTCGAGTCTCAGGCGAGTTGGCTCTTTTAGTATTCCAATAGCGTCTTGCATTCGATGTTGGTAAAGAGCCGCACTTGTTGACGCCAAGGGACCCGGAAATCGAGGAAAAAGGGTTTTTCGTATTTGTGGGTAGATGACCCAATGGGACATACCGATGGAAAAGCAAAGTGAGTGGGCAAACTGGTCAGACTGAAAAATCCCGTGGGAGAATTCTGGGACCACAATTCTAAATCAGGTTTCACTCCCTCGTGAATCTCCACACCTCGTTTCTTTCGATACTCCAACCATCTGCCAATTCTCCATCTCCAAATTCTTGATAATGAATTTATATAGAATGGCGGGAATTGTTGACGAGTGATAAATTCTTTATTGAAGTTTCCGACTGAAAAATTGCATTATTTTCGTATGAAATTTGAATAACTGCAGCAATAACACGGAATCGAATGGTTACACGCGCATTCACCAGCATTTCCCATGTAGAGCAATAAACACAAATAGGGCTTTCCGACTGTGAATATCCAATGTCGGGAATATGTCTTCTATCTCAGAGAGATTGCAATTCACCAGTCGATGAATAGTTTTTCGATGGCCAGGGATTGATCGGTTCCATGAAAATCCCAAACTCACATCATTCACAAGAATAATGGAGAATTATCGTGCAATCCTTTATTATTTAATTCATTCTCATCTGGTAGAGGCGTGAGGGTATGAGACGAGACGTTGGACTGGTCGTCGGGAGGTTTTGAAATTAAATTCCCGCTGTTAGGTACTTAGAGCTCAAGTGCACCGCGTGTTAGTGGAAACTGCACGGTGCGAGTCAGACGTTTCGTGGATTTATCGTCACCTTAGTTATAACGTGTAAAAGTGACTACGTGAGTTTGCGACCTAACACCCAGTCATGGCAATATAAACGTTGAGTTAACATGCGACAATGAGTTTCGACGAGTTTTAAAATTCCATTCCAACCCTAAAACAACAATTTTCACGGATTAAATACACATCGTAGAGCCTAATTATTCAAAGCTCGAGCAGAGCCATTACGGAGTAATGCTCAAAGCCAATTGATTTTATTTATCACAGTTGAATGGCAGTTATCTGAGTGCTTCGCTGAATATAATAATAAAATGTTGACAAAGGCAATGTGATATGTAGAATCTGTGTGTCACGTATGAAAGAGTAGTTTTGCTCACATCAAAAGCAATTTATACGATTATATGCATGGCACCTTGAATGTGCCTTAATCAAATAAAAGCGGTCCCCTCTGAAAGGCACAGTGTGTTGACGTGCACGTCGTCTGTTAGAATATACACCCCCTGAAAGTTGCTTCGCGACGTGTGTTCACCCCCCATCCTATCCTTCTTCCATCAGTATCGTAATGCATTGTGTTGAAGAAAATTTCTCCCATTTTACTTTTGCACATCTTTTCAAACGCAACACACAATATACTAGGCATGTCCCTCGTCTCCGTGAACAATCATACGAATCCTCTATTTTTTATATTAAAGAGAAAAGAAGGATACAATGACGAAAACAATGAATGGGAATGTGGGAGGGAAAAAATGAAAGAGTGGGTGAAAAAGAAAAAGAAGCTACAATGTCGACTGTCTTGAATGTTCACACGAGTTGGCTGAGAAATGCTTTTGAAGCGTTCTCAAATGCATTCGAATGTTTCCAAATACCACCGAGTGGAATAGGCCGACGGGCGAGAGATGCTAGGACTCGCCCCGGGGACCGGTGCCAAAATCTCAAGAGGTCGTCTCTCGTCTCCACCCTCTCTCCTCTATCTACACCCTTTTCTCCATTCCCCTGTACACACCCGGTATTCGTCTTTATCTCACACCCACTTTGTGCTCTTCCATCCTATCCCCCCCCCCCCAACTCGCTTTCAACCCTGCCTCAACATATACCCATTCCTAGAGGTACCGTGCTTTGTTATGTTAATTGTTTCAAACTCCGAGCATCATCGCTACGTTTATTTTCCATTCCCATTGCTCCCCCTCCCCTCCCCCAACCCCTCGATTTTCCTATGCCAGGGTTGGCTTGGGCGCGTTGTTTTGTGCTAGTGCGGACTACCCGCTGAGCCTTCGCTTGGAACTTGCTTCGTTCCTTTTAAAATATGAATTAAACTTTTGGGCATTATTTTTTTCTTCTCAACATTTTTCTTCTTCTTCGCTCCACTCCACTGTGGCCTTCTCTCGATTTTGAGAGGAATCTGATACAAAAGTTTGTTGTGCAAGGATTTGAAAGAGGGTGATGAAAAAAAATGTATGGAGGAGAAAAAAAAAATGTTCTCTCTCCTCCGGTTCGACTAGATCGATTTTACGTCAAGTTGTTTCTCCCTCGTAACCTTCGCATAGCCCTCTTTAATACGCTATATTCTCACTCGCTGATGAGAGCATTGCCACCAAGATACAGGAATTCCCTAGATTCGGGTAGGAAAACAGGTTTTTTAATTAAAGTTGTTGGATTACATCATTTGAAAAATTATGGATCTCGTATTTCAATTCAACAATCGTCTTGTGCTTTAATTTGAAAAAAAAAAAAAATTTGAATAAAACTTGTCTGGTTTAATCCATCCCGGCGGTGTTCCGTGGCTTTCCGTGGGAATTGGATGAGCAAAAAGGAAGAAAGAAAATAGAAAGACAGAGAGAGAGAGAGAGAGAGAGAGAGAGAGAGAAGGAGAGAAAAAAAGGGATGGCGAAGATCCTA